AATTAAAAAAACAAAAGCAACAACAACCAAAAAATGCCAAAACCAAACCACAACCACCAACCAACCACACACCACATTGTAGCTACCTTTCAAGACAAATCTGCAACACATAGGGTAAGTCTCACAAATTACAGGTATAAAAAAAGTACGCATTTCAGTCTGAAGTTTCTGGTCTCCAACTCTTGCAATATTAAGAGTTCTAAGAGGAATAACGTTTAACTACTCTTGTCACACCAACTACATGCACTGAATGCAGAAGTGTGAAAGGAGAATAATAAAGATCTTGCTTAGCTCATCACAAAACCAGAATAAATTTTAGAATAATTATTATACCAGGGTGAATTTTTATAGTAACAGCAGGCAGGATAAAAAAAAAAAAAAAAAAAAAAAAAAAAAAAAAAAAATCAAGCTTAAAACTTTAGTGCAACCTGCACTGAAAAAAGATTGATCATAACAGAACAGTACACCCACTTCCAAATAATCTATTTCTGATATTAATAATACCTTACCTACAATGAGGGCACTGAGCTCTTTGTTCAGTCAGCCAACGCTGTGAAGGAAAAAGGAAAAACATTTTTCAAGAGACTGTAAGAAAAGAACTGAGAGCAAGTACATTCTGTCATTAATTATAAGTTGTTTCTTTTTATTATAGTCTTTATATATTTTTTCATTTTTTATTTTTACAGATTTGTAATTTAACTGTTCAACCACTTAAGTCACAGAAGAAGCTGCTATTTATACCTTAGTAACAAGGCAGCCACTTTTTTGGATGTCAAAGACACTTCAGTTAAAATTATACAGAGAATTTTGAGGTATCAAATACTCCATTAGAAACCATACACCTGATGCAGACTCCCATAGTTACAGACTAAAGAGCATGTTTCAATAACAGAAAGCAAAAGACAAAACAAGCATATTTTTCAGAGTCTAAATTATTAATCTTCAAGGTAATTTATTCCCTTCTCTTAAAGTATTTATATTCAAGTTAGATACCTGCAGTTCAATGACCAAATCCACAAGGACCCTTTGAATGTTTCTTTTCCAGAAAGCTCCAAAGACAAGCAGCTGAGGAAAAAATTTCACCTGCCCACTACAACTTGAAAGTGTAAAAAGCTCAGCAGTTGAAGGGCTTATATTTGTCAGCTCACTACTACATTTAAAGATTCTCATGAATAATCTCTCACCACTCAGCAACAATATGTCATCTAACATTCTTAATATGGAAAATGAATCCTTCACCTGTAGTTCTTGTCAGAGCTTTCAAAGCAAAATGATGATTGTTCCAATTTCTGGAACTACTACCAGAGGTCTGAAAACCTCAGCTGAACCTTCTCCCACTACATTAACACATCACAGCGTGTGGACTTGAAAATGAAGTGTTATACGTTGGTAACCATGACCTTCATAAATGAACTGAGGTACTCCAGATGCTGCTTCAGCCTGCTATACCAGACTCCCTCAAGAAAGATTTAGCCAATATCTGATCGTATCATTCTAGTTTGGTAAGCATTTAAAGACATCTGCTAGATGACAAGAGGTGATATTATGACCTTCCAGTGCTCCATACTGAGAGATACAAAGTCAGCATTTGATTCCTGTCCCTACTTTTGTCTTCCATACAGACATCACAAACTCTCAAAAGATTCTAAAGAAGGGATCATTATATGTCTGTTTCTTAAAAGCAATTATTCCAGATAGTCCCTATAATTATCAAAACTGAACACAATGCACAGCCTACCTAGTTTTTCCTCAGGGTGTCGTAAAAGATTTTGAAAGGGAAACTAAAGAGCACGGAACAGGAAAAAGGAATCCTTGGAACTCCAGGAAAAGGGGCAAAAAAGAAGCAAGAATGTGTTCATAAGATCAGTAGTTTTTAAGTTCATACATTCACAAGAACAAACTATAATAAGCAAACTCACCCGAATACAACTAAAACAGCACAGCTTGGAGCAATGAGGACACAGGCGTGCATCACGCAATTTCTCCATACAAATAAAACATCGGAATACTTCAGCAATGCTCTGCAAAGGGTAGATTATCGCTATTGTTAAGCCACATACTTCCAACATATCAGAGTTCCATTTATCTTCCAGGCAGAGTGCCAAGTTTCATAAATACAGTCCCATACCAAACAGCCACGGAGAGCACATCTAAGAGCGAGATACCCAGTCAAACACCATGGCTCTCCCCACTTTCTCCTACACTACACCAGCTCCTAGCACCCATTTTATAACACTATTCTTCAAGGAATAGTTTCTTTGTTTGGCTTATCTTTTTCAAAGTGGGCCTTTCTATAGCCAAGATATTATTCTTGCTTGTGTTCACACAGGATTGAACAGTTGCCAGAAGAAACCGTGCCGTACCTGCAGATTCTGAACCCGCGAGTTTCAACGTACTGGCATTAACCTAATTCAGAACCATGGCAAGTGCATGTATGTATTATATAGAATGCTAATGAGAGGAGTTAAATTGGATGGGGCATTTTTGACTTTCATATGACTTACATTCTTTTAAGGTCTACCATTAGCACTAGCTCCACGATTTCTACACTCTCTCATACATTTATTAAGTCTTGGACAATAAATATGTAATTTAACATTTTTTTACTACAACCAGTTGAAGAGAATTCTATTTGTTCTAGAATATAACTACCTCATCTCTCTCCATTCCCAAAATGTGAAAGGTATTTTGAAATGCCAAGCAATGTTTGCCTTCCATATTGATAGATTTTTCACTGACAAAGGATTTTCACATTCTATATTGTACAGGAGTTAGACCTGTCCTGGCTTTAACTATGAAACACTGTAAGATTCATCAGATAGGCTCATTTTTTCCCCACAGACTTGCGACTATAGATTAGCGCCAAACTGAGGCATATCTTCAATTTACACATACCACAGTATCTCCCATATGTTACTGTCTTCTTTAATGGTTGCAAACCATTAAAATGCAATACATGCATTTACAGAAAGTTATCACACAATGTCTCTTAAATGATTCTCCAGTTTGGCTGCTATTAATAGACCGCAGCAATGCGTGCAAGCTGCCCAGGTTAGACACCACTGAGCACTGTGCCTTCACACATGCCAAGATGGGTTTGGTCAGCACCAGGTCTCCATCCACCCCCAGAACAGGCATCTCCGATGGTCCACCCGTTTAGTTTCCAACCCTGACTATGTAAATAACTGCGTGTCACCTAGAAACGCCACCTCTTTACACCCCACCTCCCACCCAGCTCCTCAGCGCACACACTTGCCAAGCTCCCTGGTATGCGCATCCCTGCCCACCGCAGAGCTGCAATCTGTTTTCCGCCTCTCGGGTCGCCCATAGCTCAGTGCCCGCTGGCCTCTTTTCCCTCAGACAAGGGAGAGGGGACCTGCCGATGGCTCGGCGGCCCCGGCGCCGCCCGCCAGCCCTCCCCTGACCCGTAAATAGGTCAGGATGCCCTGCTCCAGCCTCCCTCGGCAGAGGCCCAGCCCCGCCGCTCACCATCCCCTGTGGAGGACAAGGTGCAGCCGCCGCGGCTTCTTCCCCCGCGGCCTGGGGGATGCGTCCCCGGGGAAGCAGCGCTTCCCCCACACCGCCCTTCCCGCCTCCCTGAGGGAGCGCGGCCGCCAACCGTCGCCCAACCGCTCACCTCCACGCTCTGCTCGTCCATGGCCGCGGCTCCCCCGGCGGTGGGAAAGCTCTCCCCAGCCTCTCTCCCAACCCCACTGCTCAGGGGAAAAAGCGAAGCCCCGCGGAGGGTTTAAGAACCACCGGGGCGAGGCTGCGCCCCGGCCATGTTCGCGGGGAGCGGGACAGCTCCTCCCCCTGCGAACCCGCCCTGCGGCCGCTGAGGGGACGCCTCCCCGCCACCCCGTACTGCGCATGCGCGATGCCGCCCGGCCCACCCTCCGCGCCGTTAGGGGGCGGGGTAGCACCGCCCACCCGCCCGGAGGCCGCGCGGGGGTTCCAACGCGGCCCGGGCCCGAACGAGGGGAATTTGTAAATTTGCAAATTTGCAACCTCTTGGGTTTCAGGCTTTGCCCTCACTTACTCCGTGCTGACGACGGATTTCAGGAGCAAGCGCCTGCTGGGGCAGCGCTGAACAAAGTCTAGCTGCAGGGATGGATTTCCACACCTCACAGGGCTTTAGAAACAGACCGGGTGACTCTCCTCAAAGCTGCAGTTGCTCTTAAATTACACGCAGCACAGTCTTAGCCGCAGTTATTTTCCTACTAACAGGCATCTTTAATTGTTTTAGTCTGATTTCACTAATAAATATCTAATACTGTTGGAGGTAGTAAGGATCAAGTCCTATGTTGAAAATGGATCAATATGATTAAATACTCAAATACTGTTCGTGAAGTGATAGCAGTCTTATAGGTAAAAGGGCACACTGAGCAGCAGACATCATAAAATCAAGTTATCTCTGTCCTTTCCTCCCCCTTCTTCTTTGTTATATAACCTGTTCCTCTTCCCAACAAACTCAATAGACCAACCAGTTCATTGATGAGTTAAGAAATCAGCCTTTCCCTTCCTCAGGTACTGATTTAAATTTCTCTCCTTTGACAGGCACAATTTTTCAGGAAAAAAAATTAGGAACTTGGTAAAACTTCAGATACCTTACTCTCAAATTAGGCTGAAATAAGCATAAAAGCATTAAACATAAAGAAAAAAAAAATCCTTTTTTTTTTTTTTTTTCTCCAAACTGTGAGTGTGGTCAAACACTGCAACAGGTTGCCCAGCAAGGTTTTGAAGTCTTTATCCTCAGAGTTTTTCAGGACAGCACCCTGAGCAAGCTGCTCTGATCAGGGAGTTGGGCTGGACAATCTCGAGGTCCCTTCCAACCTCAGCTGTTCTGTGAGTCTGCAATTTTGCTGGACTGTAAAAAAACCCAAGACAGTTCACATCAAAGGAAAATTAAAAAGGTCAGGGACCAGGTTCAGGGGTTAGGGCAGGGTTCAGGGTCAGGAGTCATGTAAACAGAAGCGCAATGAATCTATGGACTCGTCTCCTTAGCTTTTATCATTTATTCAGGAATGTAAGTACAATTAAGTGGCTTGGGCTACTTGCCTTAAAAACACAACTCAGGAATGTAAGCAAGAATATGGAAGTGTCACATGGCTACCAATACTCTTCAAAGATGTGTTGACTATAGTCCTATAAATATCCAAGATAAAATACCAACCGCGATGTGTTTAACTCCGCAATTTTAAGTATTATAAAGAGAATTTGTATACAGAAACAAGAACAGCTTTCCAACAGTGGACTTAAAACTCCTAGATACCACAGAAATACTTGCTTGTAAAGAATCCAGGAACTATGACCAAGACGCTTGTGTGTCAAATGAGAATGGACTGAGCTTACATTTACACAACTAATTTAGCATTTCCTTGTTTGTCAAGTTCCACAATAGCAAGTTCTTTCACGATTCGTATTCCTGAGTCAGTGGCTTTCATACTGTTCACCCGTGGAACACTCAGTGCTACGCTGAAAGACAAAAGCAAACTATTTAGCAAAACAGGGTATCAAATATCATGTCTAGCACGAAAAGGCTAAAAAGCACATAATGTTTAATGAATTATTTTGCGAGTGCTCTGTAAAGCTCATGCTTATTCAGACTGTCATCAACTTTTCTTTGCTACTTCAAATTGGGAACAGTCATTTACAAATCCAACCTTAGGGCTAAAGAGACAGAACTCCCCAGTTAAGAACTTCATTTTTAACATCAGCCTTCAAGAAATCTGCAACACGCTCCCCATCCATGGGTCAGAGCTCAGGGAGGCAGGAGGGCTGGGTGTGAGGAGGGCAGGGTTCTGGGGTCACGGTTTAACATCAGGGCTCTGCTTTTCCTGTCTGGATGCAGATTCCAAAAGCTGAAAGAATTTGGCAGTATGACTGTGTTAGCAAAATTTTCCTGAATAGACCCAGTTTTGGACATCTGTATAGTGAAACCAAAGTGAAAAAAATATGTTTCTGAAGAATCTGACATTCAGTTTTGAAAATTATCAAATCATACAAGCCATTTTTATACAAATTAATTTAGAGGGGTTTGTGTGATGGCCCAACACTTTGGGGTGTGTACCTATCCAAGAAGAGTGTAGGGAAGTAAATCAAATTATGAAGTTATAATATAGCAGTGAATGGTTAGCTAGCTGGTTTTGTTTAATTAGAAGAAGCTAAATGCCTTTAGAGTTTATAAAATTCTTACTAATGAATGGCTTTAAGTCTTACCTGTTCTTATTTACAATGAAGTGGTTCAATAACTATACAAATTGTTTAAGTCTGCTAGTTTAACAGTACTTCTGATACTGCTTGGTACAGTCATAAATATTTCATCAGTCACTGGTTTGAATTGCAGTTCTAAAAAATTTGAAATAGAATATATTTGTTTCTTCAGAAATTAGGCCAAAGATAGCAAGTACTTTCATTACATTTTAAGAAAACCCCTAAATGGGTTTAAAGGATGATTTTCCAGCAGAAAGAGAGACAGAAGATACTTCCTCCAAACTATCATTGTATCTGCAGAGCAAGTGAAAAATCACTTACTTTGAGATCTGATGTCAGTGACTATTTTTTTTGTTTTTTAAAGAACTATGAAAATTCCTTTCTGTAAATTGGGATAAATGGATTAAACAAGAGCTATTTCTATGGTAAGACTAGTAGATGATTTCTTCCAGACCATAAACACAACACTGTCCTCTTCAATACCATCAAAAGCAAGAACTCTCAGAGACGTGGAATTGTATGTGGAATATGACTAAGGGCTCACTTGCTTATATTAAAGTCTAAATTCTTCACATAAAAGCAGTAGTTACTAGTACTTGAAACAGTGAATTTACTGTACATCACAGGCTCTATGTTTTTTTAAATAAGAGCTCAGAAACCATACCTAGGTCTCAGCCTATTCCTACTTACTGTGAGATTTGGCCTAGGGGTAAAAGAGCCCTTATTTGTCAGCTGAAGTTATTTACAATATCTGCCTTTTTCAGAAAGTAAAAGAAGTTCAATTCATTACTCCCTGAATTCTAGATAGTGACTTGGCATGTTTAAATAGCACAGAACTATTAGAGTCCAGTACTAGAGATGGAAGTCTTGCGAGATTGATACTATTCACAAAGCTTATTTACTGGGGCTGGGTGTGTGTGTGTGATCAGTCAAGGGGAGAAAAAAAAAACAAACACGAGATATTGTCAGGATTTGTTGGAATTCTGTTTAGAAATTATTTTTTTCCAATTTAATTTCTACATGAGTAATTACATTTTACTATTGGATAACCAAGGACCCTGCAGGCACTGAAGTCAACAGGAAAATCTTAGGCATTAAACAAACACTGGCTTCAAATAAAACTAAGTTTAAAATGGATACAGAGAGATTTATATGCAAGTCAGACGAGCCTGCTCAGCTTTCTCCTTTGCATTTTGGTATGGCTGTAGCTGAAAGCACTGTACCTGCAGCAAAGGAAAAAGATGGCTTTCCTATTCTCAAGCAACCTACAGAGGCTGACAGTTCTGACAAGCTGAAGGCAGCTATATCTAACTCTCTTCAGCCAGAAATACAGCACTGACGAAAAAATCCCAGAGCTTTTGTGACATCTTTCCGTTCTTTCTGCCTTTCAGAGAACATCTTCAAAACACACTCAGTGACAACATAGGGACTGATACCAATTAAACTGGCCTCAGTAGCTGTAGGATATAGCTATATTTGGCATTGGGCCTGGTTTATGCCAGCTGTATGTTAAGTTCTTTAGAATTAAATAGTGGAAAGACAGAAGTTGAGAGCATTTATGAAGGTAGGAGAAGATATTTGCAAGCAAAGAGTGAATGAAGCTGCAAGATATTGGACGGCTTTCATGCAAAACAACTGTGACAATAAAGGGACTGAAAGCGAGGAGGCATCCTTTGACAGAAGAGTAGTGGACAGTGAGAAGACATGTAGAAAAAGATACGGTCAATAAGATAATTACACTCTATTAACCTTTTTAATATGAGACCCAGACCAAATCTCTTGCAGGTAATTATATTGGAAGCTTGTGCTTTGAGTAAGTACGGGAGAATGTATGACTTACAACAAGTATTAGTTTACATCTGTGTTCTACTGCATTACAGTTAGAATATACTTAGTTACTCATATTCCAAAATTTATTTATTTAATATTTTACAGGAAATTAAATTTCTCTCCATTTTGATATATATTGGTTTGAATCAATTATATTCTTCACTCCCACCCAAAGGCTTTTTATATATTGAGTTAACAGAACAACAGCATCAACAAGAGCACCTCTGAAAAAAAACATCTCAATTAAAAAATACGGGGAACAAAGTTTTCCATCAAAGCAAATGTTTCCTTTGTGGACAATTTAATTGGAGCAAATCATAAACTTCATCAGTATACAATAAAAATGAAAAGGTTTGTTACAAACTTTAGTCCCATTTCTGAAAAATTCCATTCATTTGACAGCTATTAAGTCACAAAAACCGCCCTTCTGACTTCAGCTGAGCTATACTCAGAACTAACGGTTTCTGGAATACTGACATTCTGTGGCCTAATTACCTCTTCCACTAGCGATTCCCTTTGTTCAGCATTTCGGCAGCTTAACTGCCGTGCTGCAGCCCGTTCTTCTTCTGACAGAGGTAAGCTCTAGAAAAAAAAAAAAAAAAACAAACAGAGAGAACTCTCACACTTTTGGCTCCTAGGGTGATGATATTTACAGAAGAACTCCATGTTTGTGTAGCCCGCTTCTCATGGAAACTAACAGTAGACTGCTGCTTTCCTTTAAATGAAAGCAAATTTGCAAACGAAGTATTTCTGAAAAATCCAACCATAATATTCCTTTAACATCAATACTATAAATGATTCAATGGAAAGGAAACAAATTATTCAATAAAAATAAGTATTTCACTTAAAGACATATATTTCCCCATAACAGTTTAATCCATCTTTGGTTTAGGAAATACACAAAGTACGAGAAAATCTTTTTCTAAAAAGTCTAAATATAACCCAAGAGACAAGAGCCTTCCACTTTAACAAAATGCAAATGTGAAATTATTCTTGGCAGCATATCCTTGGAATGCAGGAAGAGAAAATATTTTTATACAGTACATTTTATCTGTAAAGACTTACCAGTAACTTGTCTAGAGCTGTTGACAGATTAAACAGAATCTCGGGGCACTGTCATTAGAACATTATAAGTGAGAGCTGAGATCTGGGAATATGTTTTAGTTATACCAGTTCTGCCTTTTCCACTAGACTATCAATTAGCTTTATTTGATCTAAACCATCTTATTTGTAAAGGGACAAAATTAACACTTTCACAACCTCTTAAAAACTGTAATAAGCAGTGTCTGAAGACCTCTTATGAAAATGTGTTATTTGTTACTGAGGTTTTTTTAATAGATAGATGGGGATTATCATACTGAGAACTTCTTTGCACTAACAGCAATTCCACTGCATATGTTACAATGCATTGTTTTTAATTTACTCACTTTAGACAGTGAAAATACATTTTCTATTTAAAAGGGGTTTTTGCCTTTTAAAATTGGTTTCACTTTCTGATTTAAGATGGCTACTTTTAAAAATGTACAGAACTGGAACACAGCTGTGCACAGAGGCATTGATTTCTGTGAAACTATTCAAACGTCTGCCACACTACTCACACTATTATGATATTATTACTTCAACTCCAGAACTGAATACACTAGCTTAACTGTTGAGTTATCAACTGTTGAGAATCAGACTTGTGATTTACAAAAACAGTTCCAATCTTGCAAGCATTTCTTCAGGCAAATGGTCTTATCTTCTAAAAGTCTGCACTTACACCAGTTTCCAATGGAACTACTCACATCTACGTAAAGGTCACACAAACACATGTTCATTTACAGGAGTGAGAACCAAGTGACTAAAGTGAAAATAGTACCTCCAGATCAGTATCTTGCTGTAATTCCTGAATCATCATCATTGTGTTCTCCAGAGCAGCACGGATGCCCTCCATGGATTCTCTCTGTTCTCTGTAAACTTTTTCCAGCTGCATACATAACGTTTGATAACGAGATTTCACCACTGAGAGTTCTTCCAAGATTGCAAATGGATTTTCCTGTGTAGAGATTAAAAGTACATTTAAACTGTTGAAGAAGGTAAAATTAATGTGGCCACATACCAATTAGAAGTATACGTGTTAGAGACACTAAAACATAGCATGAAATGAGCCTTTACAATGAAAAGTGTAGCTATGAGCATCTGTTTCATCTATATATTTATTTTTTCATACAGAAAAATGATAGATAGTCTGAGTAACATAACTCTGTGGCTCCACAACAAATAGAGGAGGATGAATTTACTGTGTTGGTAAATTTTAATGGCTTTTCTGAGTTGGAATAAGCTAGGGACTTCTAACTAGGAAGATTATTTTTCCACTATATGTTACAGTGTACATGGAGACAAGGATTTACATATAAAATCCTTTCCACAATGCCATTTATTGTTTACTTCTCACCTCTCACCCAAATCTGAGTATAGTCATTGGTTATTAGCAAGTGTATCTTTGATCTCAGAGGAAGGGTGTATTTTAGCTCAGATTGGAATCTGTGTCTTGAATTTGTTAACACTACTAATTTCTCAAAGCAGAACATGTGAGAATTCCACTGTACCAAGAAATAGGGGGGTTTGTTAGTTTCGGCCCTGAATTCATATTAGGCCAGTTATCTTGATAGAGGATGCAAGAAACACATAATAACAATAAATACCTAACAACAAGATAAAAGAACAGCCACATATATTTTAGGATTAAAGAAAATTACCCGTTTATTACCAACTTCAAGCAAAATGCAATAAAGCAGATTAAATTAATCTGAAAATACTACCTCCGCTGCTGGATTATCAGGAAGACTTTTCATTATTTCAAACTCCATCCTGTGTTGAATATAATCCAGATCAGATTCTGCCTTCTGGAACTAAAATATTTAACGTCAGCCACAGTATATTAAAAAACAAAAATTGCAGACAAAACCCAACCATATGCCCTTCCTGTATTTCAGGAAAGCAGAAGCAAGATGCCTCTGTTTTAAAGGCTCACATACTATAAAAGTAAGTTTCTATTCCTCCAATCTCTTCCTTTAGCTAATGTTTGTCAATTATGCTGACACACTTTTAGCCTGAAAAAATATAAAGCAATAAACTTTCAGACTTAACTATTTTCCTCTCACATGTAAGAATTACATGTGCGTGTACACACATACACACTTTTATTAATTTTACCCTCTATATGTCTAACCCAAATTACCCAATTACTCTCTTTGCATCTTGCCATTAGTACCTTTTTCATGCAGCTCCCCAAAATGCATGAAAACATTTCCATCTCTTCCTATGTTATATGCTCTTACAATGCCAAACCTCTCAAAATGAAGTTTTTTAGTACACCAAAGAGGTAATTTATATCAGTAGAAGAGAACATGCACCTTTTTAAAACTGATCTTCACTGGATGCAGGAGGTGTTTCATTTTTTTCCCCTTGAGATATTAACATATTTTCCATCAATTTTTTACAGCTTTTTCTTGGCTAGTTTTTTTTCTTTACAAATATTCAAAGTTATGTTAGCAAAACTGCAATACTTGGTTATTTACACAGCAGAGATTATGAATAAGTGTTCAGGATCCAGGCATATCGGCAGATATTTTATTATTAATTATTTTAGGAATGCATTCTCTCAGATGGTTATAATACCCATAATACATTTTATTATTCCCCAGTAAACCAGACTGACAAATAGATAATAAAATCGATGACATCACATTTCTTTCTTTGGGATAAATAAGCCACCAGAGAATTATCTAATTGCCTTGTAAAACAGTCTGCTGGTAGCATTATTACTTAATTAATTTTAGTCTGCAATTTTAATATCTATTAAGGATTTAGGCTTGAAAGTAAGGCAGTTTTCCCAGTTCACAAACAACTCATGAATTTTTTAATGTAATGATTTGGTGATTTTACAGTCACAGAAGAGACCATGATGAAGGGAAGTTAAAAATGCTTGTAACTTAGTTACCTTGTTTTTCACTATTTATATTGAGATTAACCCTGACATGACCATTACAACTTTTTAAGAATTAAAATAAGGTTATAGTTGTTAACTGTATCCCAGGGTACTAACTGGCAATGCTATAATGGTAGCTAAAGTGACAAACCTCATTAGTCTTTGGATGTAGCCTGTAGTCAGGCCTGGATACCAAAAGGATGTTTAGGTTTTAAACATCAGCCTCGGCATCCTCCGTCAGGAACTGTCATTAATACCTTTGAGAATCTGGAACTTCAGATAGCCCAGAGGAATAGCGTTCAACCCAAGATATTCTACAAGTAAAATCCCCTTTCTGACGTAGTGAAAAAGTATTTTTCATACACATACACACCCTCAGTAAATTTTCAAATAATAGCTTAGGAAAAAGAAAATAAGTCTAGTAAAGACCTTGAGCATCTATAAATCAAAGGGAAAGCTTTCACCTGTTACTCTCATAGCTTACCATTTGTCCAGCAAAACTCGTCCCTACATCTACCCCAGAAACCAGTCATGATAAAATGTGGGAATAAAATACTTTTTATTACGCTATATATTTTTAAAGAGTTCATGAAGGATTTTTTCCTAACTGCTCAGTCATTTCTGTTCCCCTCCACCAGCAAACATTTTTAGGATTGCATTCCTAGAGTTAGGCACCTTAAAAAGATAACTTTTTGCTTTTCTCCAACTCCTCCATCTGATTAATTTTTGGGAAGGCAGACAGTGAATACGGGTGGCTTTCAGAATTATCCATGAAGCTGTTTTCCTGAAATATTTGAGATTTACAGAACAAGAGCATCCCACTAATACCATGATACTCCTATGATCCAAGACATTAAAAATTGAATGTGAAGCTGAATGCTAAGCTATCGTGTGGCTCTAATTTTAAGATTTGTGCTTAATGAAAATATGAACACAGTTCAATATCACTGCTTTCACCTAAAAGTATGCTAATTCTAAAAGAATCAAAATTTATTATTAGCTATTTCAAAGCATGTTTATAAGCACTGGCATGTATTCCTCCATTATGATCTATTTTTCCTTTGTTTTATAAATATCTTTTTCTTGCTGTATTTCAGGAAACATACACCTGCAAAAATCTCACCTTAATGTTATAGGTTAGGACTATGAGTATTTTGCAACAATCACACAGAAAATGCAGTTTGTGAAATGTAAATTTGTAATTTACTCACAGGCTTAGAAGAAAGTGTTAGAAACTGTGAGGCAAGACTCAAGCCATGGCTGCGTACTCTGCTTTCAGATGCTTTGACAATACTATTGCACTGCTAGCTGTAAAGTACAGTAGTGCAATAAAGTCAGAGCATTCGTTAGCAGCAAGAATTCTGTACAAGTAAGCAATACACTCAAAATACATATTGGAAAAAACAGGTCGAGTCAGAGAGTGGTTTCTGTGGATCATGGAGAATGGGAGAAGGTTAATTTTCACCAAGTCCTGATAGAGACACACAAGAACTCATGTATTTCAATACATTAGTATTATTGATAATACCTATAATTCCACTGACCAAGAGAGGAAAAGAAAAAGGGGAAAAAAAAAAAAAAAAAAGAGATAAAAACACCCCACAAAATGCCAACAGATCTGTCAGAAATTCAATTTCAAATAATTTGGTGCTCTTTTAACTAGAAACTACATTTCCAAATGTATTTATTTTCTAGATTTACCTGATAGAAAGTCAAGAGTCTAAACTCCTATCAGACAGATGTTCTTAAACAGCATTACAGGGAACATTTTCTGGACACCAGAGTTTATTCTTCTCTTTTGCCAGTGTGGAATCACTTTAAAATGCACTTAAACACACCCTCATTTCTTAAGATTGTGAACGTACATTGCCACTGGGACAACCACACGGATGCTACAGCACCATGAAAGTGGGGGCATAGTTCATAAATCTCAATACAGGTGTTTCTTTTTAACAAAAACAGTAGCATCATATAAAAAATTTGGGAACTCTTAGGGTTTGAAGGTACTAATGTTCTTAACAACAAAATGCAAAGAAACAGAGGGATAGAGTGGAGAGAGATGGATGATTGCTGATGCACGCAGAGTAACAACCTGAGTCAACTCCACACCCGTAACATTTCTCTAGAACACACTGTGGGAAATAAGAATGCTTTCCTCTTTGTAAGGCAGTTAATTCTAAGGAAACACAGAGTTGATGGTATGTGTCATTAAAACACCACTTAATGTTTCTCTTTGGCAAATAACTAGAAGACAATGCAAAAAAAAAAATAATGGCAATCCCATTTTACAGTTGTTTTTCAAATCACCTCCTGGTCTCAGACACAGAATAGCGACTTTTGACTTGTGACTATAACAAGAAGAACAATGAGTAACGTAGATAGTATTGCTGGCCAATGCCCTTTTAACATTGCACTGCTTTTTGTGCATGATCACTAGTAGTACAACATAAAAAGGGCACTGGACAGACACCTGTCTTGGTTTGGGCTGAAATAGAGTTAATATTCCTTTTCAGGAACTAGATGAGTGCTGTGTTTTGGATTTAGCTTTGGGTTTGGTATGGGAAGAATGCTGATAGCTCAAAAAAAAGTAGGTCTACTATACCAAAAATACGGTGACAGATATTAACTAAATTGCTCTCAGTGAAGCACTCTCAGCTCATCTGACAGTTTATCCATTTGTTATCAAATTTTACTAAATGGATATCCACAAAATTTCTCTCAGTGCAGACTGCTGAAGCGCATCCTGGAAGGCGCTGGCTCAGGATGTGAAGTCCTGAGCACTAAAGGTTAATGAAATGGCTGTACAGAAGGATACATTTATCACCAGAAACTACCACGTACTGTATTTTCATTAGAAGCCTGATCTGTCTGTTGAAGCTGTTGGAAAGATCTCCAGTCCCAGCTGACTTGAGTGAATGCTTGTACAGAACAGTCTCAGGTGCCTAAGTCCTAAAACACAGCACCCAGTATTCTTACTTAAATTGTTAAAAAGTCAACCTTACAATCTTTTGCATAGTGAATCTCCTTTTATATTGTAGATGTTATGGTTCATTCAGCTGTTCTGGTTACTGTACTTTGAGCAATATTCTCAAATAACCAGTGATTACCTGGTATTTTCATACATATTTTTCTTCTTAAGATCCTACAAATTACGTCTATCCTTGGTTCTATGAGATGAAAACGAAGCTTTTCATGAAATGCATGTCAAAACCTCTGGGGAAATAAGAAGTGTTATTTTATCACACTTCTGTGGAGAGAGCTGACTTCACAGGAGATACAGGAAGAAGAAACAATAAGCAGAAGGAGAAGCAAGAGACACAAATCTGTGATATATGAGACATAGTTGCCAATGTACATATTCTGATTAATATAGAATCGCTGACTGGTTTGGGTTGGCAGGGACCCTAAAGATCACCCAGTCCCACCCCCTGCCATGGGCAGGGCCCCCTTCCCCCAGCCCAGGGGGCTCCCAGCCCCGTCCAACCTGGCCTTGAACCCTTCCAGGGAGGGGGCAGCCACAGCTCCTCTGGGCACCCTGGGCCAGCGCCTCACCCCCGGCACAGGGAAGAATTTCTGCCTTAGATCTAATCTAAACCTACCCTCTCTCAGTTTAAACTTGTTACCTCCTGTCCCACCCCCACCCCCTGATCCAGAGTCCCTCCCCACCTCTCCTGTCCCCCCTTTAAGCCCTGGGAGGCCGCTCGAAGGGCTCCCCGGAGCCTTCTCTTCTCCAGGCTGAACCCCCCCAACTCTCTCAGCCCGGCCTCCCAGGGGAGCTGCTCCAGCCCCCCCAGCATCTTCGTGGCCTCCTCTGGCCCCGCTCGAGCAGCTCCGTGTCCTTCTGCTGTTGGGGGCCCCCGAGCTGGCCCCAGCACTGCAGGGGGGTCTCCCCAGAGCGGAGCAGAGGGGGAGAATCCCCTCCCTGGCCCTGCTGCTCACACTTCTCCTGATGCAGTCCAGGACTTTCTGGCAGTGAGTGCAAATTTCTGGCTCACAGTCCATTTTCCATCCACTAATACCCTGAAGTCCTTCTCTGCAGGGCTGCTCTCAACCCACTCCTTGCCCAGCCTGGATTTGTGCTCGAGACTGCCCCAACCCATGTGCAGGACCTTGTACCTGACCTTGTTGAACCTCATGAGGTTCACACAGGCCCACCTCTCTAAGCCTGGCCAGGTCCCTCTGGATGACATCCCCTCCCTCCAGCCTGTCACCACACCACACAGGTTGGTGTCATCAGCAAGCTTGCTGAGGGTGCACCGATCCCACTGTCCGTGTCCCCAACAAAGAAGTTAAACAGCACCAGCCCCAACACCGACCCCTGAGGAACGGCACTCGTCACTGCTCTCCACTCGGACATTGAGCTGGACATTGAGCTGTTGATTGCAGTTCTTTGAGTGCGACCATCCAGCCAATTCCTTACGCGCCAAGTGACCCATCCATCAAACCCATGTCTCACCAATTTAGAGACAAACATGTCATGCAAGACAGTGTGAAATGCTTTGCACAAGTCCAGGTAGGTGACGTCAGTTGCTCTTCCCTTATCCACCGACACTGTAACCCCGCTGTAGAAGGCCACCATGTTCTTCAGGCGTGATTTGCCCTTAGCGAAGTCATGTTGGCTGTCGCTAATCACCTCCTTATTTTCCATGTGTCTTACCATAGTTTCCAGGATCCGCTCCATGATCTTGCTCAGCACAGAGGTGACACTGACTGGCCTGCAGTTGACCGGGTCTTCCTTTTTTTTTCCTTTTTAAATATGGGAGTTATGTTTCTCCTTTTCCAGTCAGTGGCAACTTTACCATACTGCCATGACTTCTCAAACACGACGGATAGTGGCTTAGCCACTTCATCTGCCTGTTCCCTCAGAACCTGCGGATGCATCTCACCAAGTCCCATGGACTTGTGCACCTTCAGGTTCTTTAGATGGTCTTGAACCTGATCTTTTCCTGCAGTTCTTCATTCTTCCAGTCTTCACTGGCCACTGAGTACCTCAGCCTTCTCCATATCCTGGGTAACCAGGTCTTCCAGAGAGGGCCCACATTTCCCTGGTCTTCCTTTCATCACATAAACAATGACAAAGAAAAATACTGCACCTTTGAATGAGGTTTGGATATAGGAAATTAATAAATGAAATTGTTTGAGGTGTATTTATGAAATCACCCTTTTCTTAAAAAAAAATAAGAAAAGAAGCAGATGAAGATGCAACTGCCTTGTGCCACCCAGCAGTTTCAATGGAAGGCAGCAGCTGGGCATGCCATCTTCCATCTTCTGCTAGAAGAAATAAACAGAAGAATCAAACAGAAGAGTAACAGGGTGAAATCAAAATCAGTTTGGTTTGAAATGGATTACCAAAATGATTTGAGTTAATTAGAATGGGGTGAAAAAACAAGCTATAATCTAAAAACCTTTGGAAGTTGTTACGTGCCATCTGTGCAGATAATCAACCAAAAAAGCTCTTCACCTTGGAATTATTTGTGCAATGATCATTTTGGTCTACTCATAAAGTAGATCATAAGACAGTATCCCATTACAGTCTTCTCCACTACCATATATAAAAGCCCCTGTTAACTTTAAGGGTGCCAAAATACCTGACTCTTTACATGTCCCTGAGAATCACTTGAAAGTAAGACTTTCAATAAAACACGTAAAGAAACTGTAGCGTTAAATAAACAAATAAATATCAACATCTAACCTTGGTATCTCTGAACAGATTTCTAAATTTTTATTGCTAAACTAGGCTTTACAAATACACACAAAAAGATAGGAGGAGATCAAGTTTACGCTATGGGCAAGGCTGAGAACAACTTCAGAGCTCTAACAAGAATGTAGTACATCACTGAACTAAAATAATGTATGCTATTACCACTCTAAGCATTCAGTATGATGACTGCAGTTCAGTAGCTAAAGGAGAGGAAAAATAACCCCACCTCCCCAAAAGCGTGGTTTCTTCAAAGAAAAAGCAAAACAAAACACACCACCTTGTTCTTAAAGTGCAGTAAGACTGAGAATTAGGTAGGATAATTTGAATTCCCTGATCTTTCAACTAATGCAGGTTTTTTGGCATTTATTCAAATTGTTACTTTTTATTTCTTAGCAGAAATAGTATTGTAGCTTAAAATACCACTCTGAAGTGTCTTACTGTTGCAATGACATGCAGGTCACTCAATGAGGTGACAAAGGCATCTTAGCAGAACAAGCTCACATTTAGACAACTTTCAGCCAGTTGCTTCTTTTCAGACAAGAAACACTTACTGCCCACTGTTCCTAACGCTTTAAGGGAAGCATTACACTGGTGCTGGAGAACATGGACTGAAAGAGCAATAGAGTAAATAAAAGTAAACTAAACATGTTTAAACACAGGGCATTAAGCAGCACACCAATTCTGTGTACTGAAGTGAAAGTCTAGCACTCACGAGGTTAAGGGATAATGTAGATATACAATATTCTCCACCATGTTCTCCCAGTGTTCCTCCTATTCTTAATATTCCATTTTGTTGATGTTAGTGTGCACAGATAAGGAAACTATTAAACTAAGTTTTTACTTATTTCTTAATGAGAACTGGAAACCAATATTGCCAGAGGACAAAAACCCCTAAGATTTATCTATTGTATTATTTGTGTCTGCATTGAGTAATGTGCTTTTTTTCTCCATTAGGACACTTGTGGTTTATTAAGTAAGGTACCTAACACCGCTGCTAGGACAATTAAAATTACAAAAAACTTCTGGAACTTTCCAAACATAAACCAAAGGAGCATCGTGTTTTGGAGAACTATGTCAGTACGAGCATTTTAATTTATGTAAGGATTTAAGAAAATAAATTGTATTAAGCATTTGGACGAATAAAAATTCCCCAAGGCATTTTAACTAAAAAAAAGTGTAAACAAGATTACGTTATGTAGAAGCAAAAATGAAGACGAAGATTTGAAGGATGCCACAAGGAACTTGGCTGTTGAGAGTTTTCTAGTGCCTTTCAATATGTAAAAGCACAACATAGGGCTTTCCACACTCCCTCGTTTTTTTGTTTTTTGTTTTTTGTTTTTTTTTTTTTTTCTGTTCGGTGAGCGGTGCAGGCAGAAAGGCGGCTATTACATAAGGTAGCTCAGTTTGGCCCTCAGGGGTTGGCTCAACGAGTGCTGAAACCAAGTTCAAACGCCATGAAGAACTAACTACACGCACTTGAATGGCTGAAGGAAAAACCAGCCTCTCCTCAAGGACTGGCTACAACCCAGACCCCGGGGAGAAAGAAGAGCTGCCAGGGCCGGCGCTCCCCTCCGCGAGGGACCCGGCCCCGGCCCCGGGGTCGCGCTGCCGCCGCGGCCCCCGCCCGCCCCTCGCCTGAGGGGGAGCGGCGCGGCCCCGCAGCGCCCACCCGCGGCGAGGCGCTGTGGGGGGACGCTCCCCAGCTCCTCTCCAACCCCGCTGACCTGCTCCGCTCTACCTGCCCCGTCCTGCCGGGCAGAGGGGAAGCAGAGTGCGAGGAGCGGCCTCAGCCGCGGCCCCCGGCGGGAAGCCATCCCGGGCGGGAAACCATCCCTCCACTTCCCGCTTCCCCCCCTCCACCCTCGCTGAATGAAACCGCCCAACCGACCTCTCCTCCCCGGACACCCCCGCAGAGAAAATGGGCCAGCCCAGGTGAGAGCTCCACCCTCACCCCCCGCTGAGAGAAAATGGACTAGTCCCAGAGCGCTCTGCTTTACGCCGCGCTCCCCCTCCCACCTCACACACACCCCCCCTCCCCCAGCGCCGCCCCCCCCCAGACAGCCACAGCGACGGGGAAATAAAAGGGACCGGACCGGACCGGCCGCGCCCCTTAACAGCCCCGTTTCCCCCCGCTACGGAGAGCGATAAACGCGCCCGGGGCTGTGCGGAACCCGCTTTCCCCCACACACGCACACACACCCCCGCACCCCCCCGCCAGGTGAGAGGGAAATGGCCGTGCCGTGCCCCCGCGCTGAGGGGGTGAATGGAGCGCGGTGAAAGCCCCGCCCACCTTGGGGAGGGGTGTGGGGGAGGGGGGGGGGGAGCGAAATGGATCGGCCCGGTCGAACTCGCCTGACCCGCCCGGCGGGCGGCGGTCGCCCCATCGAGGGCGGCGCGGGCTCCGCTCAGGGCCCGGATGGGGCACGGGCGCGGCCGCTCTCCCCTCGCACCTCACAGCCGCGCACCCCCCCACCCCACCCCGCTTTTCCCTCCAGCGGCAGCCCGCTGCCCTCCGAGGCGCTCCCGCCGTCGGTCCCTGGGCCCGGCCGACCCCCTCAGCCCGGCCTCCGCCCGCGCCGCCCGGACTCACCAGGGTCTCGAGCCTGGTAACCGCCGTCTCCATGTTGAATAGTTGACATTCCTCAGGCGGCGGCGGGGAGATACCCACCCCCCGCTCCGCAGGATGGGAGAGTCGGCGGCTCCCATTGGGCAGCTGTCACTCGCTGCTCGCCTGCCATTGGCTGGGCGCTGAGGGAGGGCGCTCGCCATTGGGTCGGGAAGAATGTAAACCCTCTCCGAGGTAGCGGGGAGCCCATTGGTTGGTAGGAAAGCTGCGGTCGGTGATTGGCTACGTGAGGGGAGCGCCTCGAGCCGCTATTGGCCCAGAGTGGAACCCAGCAGTGATGGGCTGGAGGAGGGAGCGCAAGCGCTTCAATTGGCGGGAAGTGGAGCGGTCGATGAGCCGCGGTCCGTCTCCGGCGGGGCGGGGGAGTGCCGGTCACCTCCTCCGGCGGGCCTCTGCTCCCCCCACCTTTCAACCCCATTGGCCTTTCCCAGACGAGCGGTATTCCCTCAGCTGATTGGCGGGACTGGAAAGCCTTTATCCAATGGCGGGGCGGATCCCCCCCTCCGTGCGCCTCAGGCCGGGGCGGAGCAGCCCTGGGCTCCCATCTGGCTCGGGCTCGCGTCAATCTCAGCGGCCAATCAGCGGACGGCTTAGGACGGGCCGCGGGGAGGGGGAACCGAAGAGAGCGGTGCTCCCATTGGCTGCGCGCGGCGCGGGGAGCGGTTTGAATCGGCGGCGGGCAGAGGTGAGTGGCGGCTGAGGGCGGGGGGGGAAAGCGGGGTGGCCCCGTGTCCTCGGTCACCCGTGACAGCCCACCCCCGTGTCCTCGGTCACCCGTGGCATCCCACCCCCGGCTCACCGGGGGAAGTGGTGTGCGAGGGACCGCCCGCTCCTCGGTGTGGGCTTCCCCGGAGAGCGGGGCCGGCCCCACGCAGGAGCGGGTCGGGGGGGTCCTGCCGCGGGGATGAGGGGCGGTTCCGGTAACGCTTGAGCAAGCGCCCACGGTCAGGGAAGTTCTGGGCCCTTCGTGGTTTCTTCGTGACTTTTGCCTGCGTTCTCCACAGACGTAATTCCCCCCAAATGCAGTATTTGTCACTTCAGGATAAAGAAAATCTGTCAATAAAAGCCCATATAAAATGGTACTTTTTATGTTGTTCACTCCTCTCACGTACAAATATATCCCAGCGGATCACAGGAACTTAAGGATAATAATTTCTGCTATGAAAGAAAGACTGCACCTTCTGGCACTGCCAATCCTATTGAAATTCCAGTTAAAAAACTAATACATGCATCTGTAGGGGTTTTTTATTCAAATATCAAGAGGATTTACAGTGACAGTGGATTTTTTGTCAGTTGTATGTAATGCTTCTAGCAAGACATCTGTGAATAACTTCTGACTGGATGTTTGAGATACAGTCCATGTTCTTCCCTACCTATTTGGTGATAGCTCAGTCCCCATGTGAAAGTGGGTATATTTCTACACATTAATTTTAAATGTGTCCTCATTTTTTTAACAGTAATGGCAAAGTATAAGAAATACAGACGAAAACGAAGAGCCCGAGCAAAATTTCTGCTGGAAAAGAAAGAAGATGCTGCAAACTCCCAGGGCTCAGGCTGTCCTCCACGGTAAGAGGCTCACTTGGAACTCTGCCTTTTTAACTTCATTTCTGGGTCCACTGTTCCCGATGGTACGTGGAACTGAGGTAACAGAATTGTTTTTGAAGCCTATCTACATCCTGGTACGGATGCTGTGAAATTGTTTCATCTTGTATATTTTCTAGTACTCTATCATTAACTTTAACGTGCAGGAAAAGCAGTTCAGATAAAAACGTATTACAAATATGATTTCTTCTCCCCCTGTCCTTTATCAAAATGTATCTTGGTCTTTTCTGGTCTCTGTGCTCACATTTATTCTTGTCACCTGCTGTTGCTGGTACTTGTAATTTCCAGATGATTGGTCACAGATAACTTTTTAAAGGCTGAAATTATAATTACGGTCTCGTTCTGAAATATTATGTCCCAGGTCAGCAGCTGATCCTCCTCTGAACATGTCATCTGTCCCAAGCCATCTGTCCTCACTCTGGTCATTCGCCTTGCCCAGTGTAAGAGATGTGGTAAAACCCTTTACAACAACAGCATCATTTCTGTATTGTTGGTGCCAGAACACGGTTGCACAGGTAAGTTTTCTACATCTCTGTTTTTGCCAATGCGTGAGGTTGTTCTTAGTGCTCAGATGCAGGCTATGCGGTCAGATTTGAGAACTAAGTTGCAAATTTAGTTGTCTATTGAAACAGATATAGTATATTTAGTGTTTACTGTTGAAATAGAAGAGTGTCAAGGCAACTGTGGGCATTAAATGCATATGTGCAATTGTAGGGGTTTTTTATTGGAATATCAGGAGGATTTGCAGTGACAGAGGGTGCAGTCTTTCTGTCATAGCAGAAATGATTGTATGAGCTTCTCTGGTCAAATGTGAATTATACGTTAAAATTCATAGATGAAGTTAAAGTTTCTTTGGGAGAAAATCACTCCTTGGGCTCCTACCAAGGAACTATTTAGTGAAATTTTGTATCTCCATGTTGTACCTTTCCACTGACTATGATAAGACCTTGTGATAGAACTTTCAGAAGTAATCATAGCCCTGTCTCAGGAAACATAACTTGGTGGTGAAAATGCTTATCTGTTTGTTTGGGTTTTTTTATGCTTAGAGTTTTAAGGTGGTTAAAGACACCGTATTTCCATCACAAATCTACTTAAGGGAGCTAAATACGTTCAGAGAGCAGCTGGAAAAGTTGGAAACTGAATTTTCCAGACTACAAGGAACACTCCAGGTCAGTCTCAGTCCCAGAGGGGCAGGGCGATGTTTGCTTGTGTAAGCATGTAAGGAACAGAGGTCACTGCAGATAAACTGAAATCTTAAGAGCTCACTGGGCAGTGTTTCACCTCTTCCTCACAGTCAGCATTACTAAACTGCTGTTACTTCACAGCTAGAGGGAACTGGTTTGCTGGCGAGGTGTGTAAGAGGCTTTTAATGTTTTTCTGGATCAACTGAAGCCAGAACCTTTGTTCTCTGAAATTCCATCTACTTTTGCCAGTGGATTTAATAATCTCTTATTTATGTTTATTGTTTTCAGATGAATGGAATTGCAGCCTTGCCTTCAGAAAATTCTCTTTGTCAAAGGTGTAATAAACCAGTTCCAGGTGCTCCTGTACAAATGCAGACGGGCCCGCCATCATCAGTATCCAAGCTTTCCACAATAGAGCTGCAGCCTGTATCTGCACCCCCTCCACCTCTTCCTCCTCCTCCGCCACCACCACCACCACCACCCCCACCAAAACTGCCTCCAGCACCTCTCCTCCTCAAACGGGGCAATAGCTCTATAGCACTTCTGGTAGGGAATAAGAAGGTTCCTCTGTTTTTTCACTCAAGGCTGGGTTCTTTGGACCTGGTTTCATCAGGAATGTGCATCTTCGTGAATGCTCAGTCAGTTGCCGATCCTAATTTCCCTTTCAACCACCTTTGTTCTCAGGCACCATCACTGAAAAAAGATGGGCCGATGCAAATCACTCTCAAAGATCTCCTGAACGTAAAACTGAAGAAGACGGACAGCAACCTGAGCAGGGACAAGGTAATCTGGAAGACACATGGATAAAGAGATGGTGGTGTATTGAGGCAAACTCCACCCCAGAACCAGTGTATTTCCTGCAATCCTTGTCTTAGCCCCTGATAGAATTTCTTCAAGAAATTAATTCCTCTCTTCCAAAACTAATCATTCTAATCTACATCTGGACATTTGAAGTGATGAAATTAAGTGACTAACTCTAATCTTGTCTGGCATGCTGGACAGTTCTGATTTGACATTAAGGGCATGTAGCTTTTTGTCTGTGTGTTATCAATAGATTTTGGGGTTTCTTTTGCCCAGCTGAAATGTTTGCAAAAGTTTGGTGGTTTTTTTGAAAAAATTATTTTTATCCAAGGCACATGCAAATCTTAATGATTCATAAAAGCATAAAAGCCATAAACCACAGAAGTCTTTCAGAGTATAAATATTAAATAGATTTAAGGTCAGTGAGACCTTCTAAAGTTTATTTGTGGTAACATTTCTCTCCTCACTTTAGGCAGAATCACCAGTGAAGACACGCAGGGCATTAATTACAGTCTCAGACTTACAGAGCGTTAGTCTCAGACCTAAACCCAAGCCATCAGCTCACATTACAACCTCCTTAATGTAAGATGGTTCCTTCCTTTCTTTGAAATTAGATTTTTCTGTTCTAAAAAGTAATTAACATTCTTTACAGAGTGGAAAATATTTTAACAACTTGTTTTGTTCTTTTAGTACCCCTGGTAAAAATCAGTTAGATCTTCAAAAACTTCTGAAGAAAGTCAATATACAAAGGTAAGCTCCTTTCTATTCTCTTTTCTAGAAAAAAATAGAGAACTAATCATAATTCCCCTTGTTTCCAATCTTTTCAGAAGTCCTGGTGGCACTCCACTAAATAGTAAAGAAAATATTGAGTGCGGGTCTGGGTTGACACCAATAATGACACAGGCACTACGGCGCAAATTTCAGGCAAGTCATGGTGTCTCCTTAGAATAAATTGGTTTTAAAATCCACAGAATTTCATACTGACCTTTTTCCCCACAGTAGAGCGCCACTGGTATATATTACATAAGTTACAGTCTCTCCGTAATTCTCATCTCAAAGCCCGAAGTACCCACAAATAAGGGCACTTGTTTTACTGATTCCCTTTTTAATGGTAAGGGAACTGCAGAATGGAAATGCCCTTGCCTGTCTTCCAGCAGGTTATTTAACAGTGTTAAGAGGAAAAGTTGCTTTTTTGATGGCCATTTTAGTGCCTCAATGCAATCTGTAACTTCATAGTTCCAGTTTGCAGGAGAACAAAATTTGAAGGTTAATAATGTCTTATTTTTTGCTGTGTCTGTTTTCTGAATGTCAATTAAGAATTACATTATATTTTATCTCAGTTATAATTAGCACTAAGTTCATCTTCCAAGATCTGACCCTTTTCTTATTTTGACAGATGGCTCATCCAAAGAGTCCCTCGCCAGCCCGGTTAAGTGCTGCAAACAGCTTTGATGAACAAAAGTAGATATCTGGAACGATATATTTCTAACTTGTGGTCAGGAAGCCATTTGAATCCCATTTTTATCTCACTTAGGCACATGTATTTGTAAGTAAATCTAGGGCATATGAAAATGGGCCATTTAGCAGATTTCTGCTTTTTAAAGGCAGCATATTTCTACTATGTTTCAGTCTGGTTGCATCTCGTTTCTTAAAGAGGGGGTGGGGTGGGGAGAGGAAAAAAAAAAAAAAAAAAAGGACATTTCCTGAATCTCTTGTTACCTGGCTGTTGCTGAAGCAGGGACTATTATGTTCCCAGCACTGGTGCTACTTGTAATATAAATATGTGCATGTTTGCTGAAAGTCAATATTGCTTTTACTTTTTTTTTTTTTAAGCAAAAATGATCTTGACGGTAGTTATACCAGTTCAGAGAAAAGCAGCAGATTAGCACTCCAGTGCTATTAAAGGCTGCAGGTTTCCACCACGATTCAGCCAGGCGGGCCAGAAGGCACAGAGCCCGGCGGTACCCACCGCTCCCGGCTGCCGTCCCGCCACCGCCGCTGCCTCACCGGCAGGTAACGAGAAACCTACCGGAGTTCACAGCCACGTCCCCCGGCAGCTCCAGCGGCGGACAGGCCGCTGTACCCGTCCCGCGGCTCCGGCTGGGGATAAGGACCTGCGTTTCCCGGGGGCGGAGCAGCACCCCCCTACCCGCCCCGAGCCCTCAGCGCGGGGGGATGTGCCGAAATCCCCACAACCTGCTGCCCCGCACTCAGCGCCTAACGCTGTTTTCCCTCCCCACGTTTCTACCGGGCACCCACCGCGCCTCAAGGTCACGGTCGCTCCCCTCACAGCGTTTTGGCGGGGCGGCGTTGCGCATGCGCAGAGAAAGACGGGGAGGGAACCGCGTTTCCGCCGCTTCCGGGCGGGCGGAGCGGGGGCCATGCCGCTACCGGCCGGGCTGCCCGGAGCGGCGGCGGCGGGGGGAGCGATGGCGGTGGGGCCCGTGAACCTGCGGGAGTTGCTGTTGGCCGCCACGGCTGCCGCCGAGGCGGGGAGCGGCGCGGCGGCCGGCGGCGATGAGGAGGTGTGCGTGGTGGGCATCTTCGGGAAGACGGCGCTGCAGCTGTGCTCGGAGAAGGCGGCCTTGGTGAGCACCGTGTGCGACCGGCAGGTCTTTCCGCTTTTCGGGCAGGAGGATCCCGATCCGGCGGACGGAGCGGCGGGGCAGGAGGGTGAACCGTTGACCAAGGACTACAACCAGTTGCAGGCCTACTACAGCCAGGAGAGCCGGGTGCTGTACCTGGTGCTCACCTCCATCTGCGACACGCCGCAGCTGCTGCGGGCCTGCGGGGACCTGGCGGCGGCCGAGAGCAGGGAGCCCGGGCCCGGCCACCCCTCCGGTGGCCCGGCCCCACTGCCTCATGCCGAGGCCCACGAGTTCTGGAAACACCAGGAGAAACTGCACTGCCTGAGCCTCCTCTACCTCTTTTCCGTCTGCCACATCCTGCTGCTGGTGCACCCCACCTGCTCTTTCGACATCACCTACGACCGCGTCTTCAGGGCGCTGGATGGGCTGCGGCAGAAGGTCCTGCCCTCCCTGAAGGCTGCCATCAAAGACTGCCCGGTGGGCAAGGAGTGGAAGCTCAACTGCAGGCCGTGCCCTCCCCGCCTCCTCTTCCTCTTCCAGCTCAACGGGGCCCTGAAGGTGGATCCCCCTCCAAGCAGGGGACAGGACCCCTGCGGTCACCTGGAGAAGCCACCCCCCAAGAAGCACTCCCCCAAGAGGAGGTTGCAGCACGCTTTGGAGGATCAGATCTATCGCATCTTCCGCAAGAGCAGGGTGTTAACCAACCAGAGCATCAACTGCCTGTTCACCGTGCCTGCGAACCAGGCTTTCGTGTACATTGTGGCTGGTGGGGCCCAGGACGGAGATGATCCGGTGGCCATGCTTCTTGAGCAACTCAGGAGCAACTGCACCATGAGAGAGACAGACTCGCTGCTGGCTCCCACCCTGTCAGGACCCAGGAGGTATCAGATGATGCGGCATGGCAGGCAGCAGCTGTCCTTCCACGCAGAGAGCAGCAGCAGCAGCTCCAGCTCCTCTGGACAGCTTGTGGACTGCACCCTCAAGGAGTTCTTGTGGCAGCATGTGGAGCTGGTGCTTAGCAAGAAGGGCTTTGACGACAGCGTGGGGAGGAACCCCCAGCCCTCTCACTTCGAGCTCCCAACCTACCAGAAGTGGGTTGCTGCAGCTTTAAAACTGTATGAAGTGACCATCGAAGGCAAAGATGATGACCCAACCTCTCTCACTGGGGAACTGAGCTCAAAAATCATGAGCAGCATCAAAGTCTTGGAAGGCTATTTGGATATAGACACCAAGTTCTCAGAAAACCGTTGCCAGAAAGCTCTCCCCATGGCCCACAGCGCCTACCAATCCAACCTGCCCCACAACTACACCATGACAGTCCATAAGAACCAACTGGCACAGGCTTTGCGTGTGTACAGCCAGCACGCCCGCGGCCCAGCCTTTCATAAGTACGCCATGCAGCTTAACGAGGACTGTTACAAGTTCTGGAGCAACGGGCATCAGCTTTGCGAAGAGCGAAGTTTAACTGACCAGCACTGCGTGCATAAGTTTCATCTGCTCCCAAAAGCAGGTAAAGAAACTCACTTGTAATTGGGTTTCATAGTTTAGTTTTGAATCTGCTTTAAAATGTCTTAAGCTGCACACACTGACTCTTGCATGTTTATAGAAGATGAAAGTTTGGCAGTTTTAAAGCTTCATCTTTGTACAGTGGGATTAATTACAGCAGAGTGGTTGTGCAGGTTTCCTTTAGGTTGAGTAACATTTAGGAGTGAGTCCACTGTTAGTATTAACTTTGATTTTAGGAGTAACTCTGATTCCATCTTGTTAATTAGAAGCATTACGCTGGAGTCCTTCTAACAATAGATGTGTAAGAGAAGTTCTCTAGGAAGCATAAGTGCCCCCTCAGCTATTTTTAAAAATAGCTTGATTGATGTCAATCAAGGAATACAAACTGTCTGATACATATTTATTGCAGGCAGAAGAACTATTTATGCCTTTTAGGAAGAGGTGGTAAAAACAAAGAAGAATCCAGATACTAAACTGAACTTTATATTAAAAGTGGGAAAGGGAGGAGTTGCTTGACAAACTGGCATTGCTGGTAAATAATTTTGCATACATACATAGCAAGGAGAAAACACTGGGTGAAGGGAATTAAAGAATCTCTAGAAATAGTGAGCAATTTATCTAGGGTTTGGTTGATTTTGCTTTTAGGGGAAAAGCCAGAAGCAGACAGAAATCCTCCAGTTCTGTACCACAACAGCCGGGCTCGTTCCACTGGTGCCTGTAACTGTGGAAGGAAACAAGCTCCTCGGGATGACCCCTTTGATATCAAAGCAGCTAATTACGACTTTTACCAGGTAATTATTGGGTCTCTATTTTTGCTTCAAGCAGTGCTTTTGCTTCATCAACAAAGTCTCTAGTCTGAAGTGAATACAAGTAAGTTTTCTCTTAACCTTATCAGCTTGTAAACATTGCTTGAGAAAGATATTTCTGGGAGCAGAAATTGTTTGCACGATATGCTGACCAGAGTGGGCAGTTCCACTCTTCACGAGTGCATGCACGCAGGAGCATCTATTTATACTTCAAGTGTGTTGGTTCGTGTGAATTTAAAATCCATCGTGTCTGTGGGCTGTATTCCCATCGCTGCTTTGGTTCTCACCCAGTGCAAACCTCTGGAGTCTTAATTGTAGCTGCTGAATGTTATGACTCTGAACTCCCTCATCTTGGAGGTGGAAGATGGAGAGTTAACCACATTTTTTTTTCTTATAGCTACTGGAAGAAAAATGCTGTGGGAAGCTGGAGCACATCAACTTTCCCATATTTCAGCCAAGCACACCTGATCCGGCACCTGCTCGGGATGAGTCATCGCCTGCCCCTCCGGAAGGCGAGATTGAGAAGCTTAAGGAAAAAGAACCTCAGACTCAGGGAGAAAGCACGGGCCTGAGCTTAGCCCTCAGCCTGGGCCAGTCGACAGGCAGCTTGGGCACTTACCCGCCTGATGCCCAGGGTGGAGGGGACAATGCAGAAAGTCATGGGCAGAGTGGGGACTCCAAAAGTGAGAAAAGGCCAAGCCTGGTAGATCGCCAGGCGTCCACTGTCGAGTACCTCCCCGGGATGCTCCATTCTAATTGCCCCAAAGGCCTTTTGCCTAAATTCTCCAGTTGGTCACTGGTTAAGCTGGGGCCTGCTAAGGCTTATAACTTCCACACCGGCTTAGATCAACAAGGCTTTATCCCAGGAACAAACTATTTAATGCCTTGGGACATCGTCATCAGGACAAGAACTGAAGATGACGGAGACTTAGATACCAATTCCTGGCCGGCACCTAACAAGGCTGTTCCTGGAAAAAGAAGTGCAGTTGTGATGGGAAGAGGAAGACGGAGAGATGACATAGCTCGAGCTTTTGTAGGATTTGAATATGAAGACGCACGTGGTAGGAGGTTCATGTGTTCAGGGCCCGATAAGGTCATGAAAGTGATGGGAGGGGGGCCAAAGGAATCTGCCATCAAAGCCCTCAATTCTGACATGCCGCTGTACATCCTGTCGTCAACTCAGGGGCGAGGACTCAAGCCACATTACGCTCAGTTCATGAGACTCTTTGTGGTGGTTCCTGATGCTCCACTGCAGATCACGTTAACTCCTCAGGTGAGTAACGGAAGAGGGAATCTGGTAACTGCCGAGAAGGGGTTGTATGTTGCAACGTGAATTGCAGGACCGGAAGGCACAAGGGTGATCTGCAAAGGGTGTCAGAGGGATGCTATGAGAAACTCCAACTCAAACCAACTTCAGTCAAGTTCTCTAAGGCAGTAGTCACCATAAGTATCTGTTTTAAAGGTTTGGGTTTTTTTTTTTAAACTTAAGGATTGGCTTATGCCAGCTTTATACTTTGTATAAAGTAACTTCAAAAAAAATATTTTATCAAGGTTGAATTAATAGCATTCCATACTGTAGTAATTGCTTCTTTTTAAAAAGGTAACAAGTAACAACTGTTTAAGAATGAATTCATTTTAAATGTGAGAAAAGCATTGCTGAGATTAATTGTTAGTTAGCCTTTGAATTTAGGAAGTGAAAAGGTGTTAATTCTTTAATTGGAGATTTCCCATTTTCAAATGTGTATTTTAAAAAATGGAGAAAAAGCTCCATTTACACTTCAAATTTTTAAGGTAGTAAAATATGAGCAAGTGTATTTTCCTTCAGTTACTGCAATATGAAATACTGTGTGCACTTAAGTGCTTATTATTTGCTAGTCTATGGCAAGAAAGTGGGTGCTCATTGTATAGTAGTGTCACTGAATAGCAAGTCGACACAAAATGCATCTGTGTGTGTGAGAGGGGAGGCAGATTTGGGACATTTTGTAACCCTCTGAGCTGTTTGGGACGTGCCACAAGCTTCTTAACTCTGTATCGTAAGACAATGGAGTTGGCTTATTTTATGGGACACCTTCAACTACTCAGATATGAATCTGCTTTGTTTTAGAAGTTAAAGCAAGAACACTGACTGAAACTTGACACCAACACCAGTATTTCAATGCAGGGTGCAGTTTATCATGTTACTGTTTGAAACAGAGGCAAGAATTGAAGGTTCAGTTTGTGTAGATACCTGTTTTGCTTTTCATTCCCAGTTTACAGCTGTATCATAGCTTTTGACTCCTTGGGGTGTGCATTTATTTGGAACGTTCATTATGCTATGTGTTGTGGGTTCCACACAACGGTTCCTCACGTGAACAAGACTTTCTGAATCTTTTAACACAAATTATACAAGACCCCTATTAAATGTTGCTGAAGTTCACATTGGTTTAAAATGAGGTAACAGCTCAGGGACATCTGTGCCACAGTGAAATCCACTGTTAGTGCAGTGTTTACTACTGCCCAAGAGGTGGAAGGGTTGTGTTTGTGTTGTGGTTCTCTTTGATTGGACCTAATCTGCAGCCTTAAATTCAGCATCTTCATTGTGATAAAATCAGAAATTCAAGGGTGTCTCACCACAACAGCACCCGTGGTTTCCTGGAATGTGCTCAAGTGGATAAGAACCTGGTTGTAGGCAAGACTTAACAGACTTCCTTGGATTCAGTTTGCTTTTAAATTTGGGGTGTTTTTTTTTTTATTCTAATGATGTTTGATTATCTACTCATATTTCCTTTTGTTTTCAGGTTCAACCAGGGCCACCACCTTGTCCTGTATTTTACCCTGAGAAGCAGGAAATAACCCTTCCAGCTGATGGGCTGTGGGTGCTTAGATTTCCTTATGCATACGTGACAGAACGTGGACCCTGCTTTCCTCCCAAAGAAAGCCAACAATTAATGAGTTACAAAGTTCTCCGAGGAATACTGAAAGCAGTTACACAATAAGAATAGTTCTGGTAGATTGATTTTAGTTTAAAAATACTATTTTCAATCCAAATAATGGATTTTGATTCATGTCTGTTACCCAGCAGCTATCACTGCAATCTAGTGAAGACCACTGCATTTCACTGGAACACAGTCTGGTTGAGAATAAGGTCTGATATCAAAGCAGAGAAAGGAATCCAAGATGTGTACATTTTCTGTTTATTACATTTTCATATGTAAAAGATAAAAGCTGGTTATTGTAATGTATTGAGCTGGTATTACTAGATGTTTTAATGATAGTTCTTTTCCCCATGTTTAGGAATATTTAAGATTTAGCACTGCCTGAAATCAAGTTTCCTTTGTCATATTGAGGCAATGATTGGCAGATTCTTTTCCCTTTTTCTAAACAAGCTATCTGTATGCAAACAGTGGTTGCTTTTCAATGTGATGTGAGAAATCATTTGTCTCTGATCTTGTCTTTAAAAAGAAAAAGGCATTGCAGTTCTGATATTTATTGACAACATAATCAGAAACTGTGCTTACCTAGATCATGTTGAAGTATTTTACTGTATTTGTATTCATAGATCAGATTTTGTTAAAAGGCTGACTTAATTTCATACTTGGAATGACAGATCTCTTTGGAAACGAAAACTGCTGGTCAATTTGTGGAAAAACTAGAGCTGTATGAGCTTGGTTCATTGTAAGCAACTGCTGCTTAATTGTCAGTATGGCTGGATTTGTGATTAAACACACTTTTGTTTGCTAAAAGGATGTTTTTGGCCCAGTTTGAATCTCAAATTGGGGGAGTTCCGGTAATTATACTGCACTTTCCAAAAGATGGACTACATGATGTACTGAAAGGTAGCTTAAATTCTGTGAGCTTCCCATGTGGCTGTGGGTGCCAAAAAATTAGTCACAGTAAATCAACTTCTAACTTTTTGTCGAGGTAAGATGTATTAGTGATAGCGGCTGTATGCTGAGACCTAATTTAATTTTCTAGAATATTTGTTTTTCATTAGCATGCATAGAAAATTTAATTTGCCAATTTGTTATAATACAGTAATTATACTGCATGACCGGAGTTCAAGACCTAGTTTCTGTTCAGCGTATGACATCTCTGATCAGCTGGGTGTGGAGAACAACCCCCCCCACCCCATTTGTGAAGAAGACACTATCTCTCTCTGCATGCCTTAATGAATTTAGATTTACCGAGCACTTAGCGATTCCCGAGTGCAATCAATAAAATGAAAAGCACTACAGAGAACAGTTATCTCTGAGAGACACGGCTATGCTACAGGCAGCGGGGAAAACGAAAGGAGAAATTAAAGCGTGCAATTGGAAAGCGCTCGCAGCGTTTGTGAACTACTTTTAAAAAGCTCAAGCTGTGACGGACGCGCGGGGCCTGCCAAGCCCCTCTGAGGGGCGATCGCCTCACGGCCGAGCCCTTGGCGGGAAGGGCGGGGGTCGCTCCGCGCCTGCGCACTCTCCGCGGCTCCGGGGGCGGGGGGGAGGCGGTGCGGCTGCGCGGCCGCAGTGGCAGCGGCTCCCGCAGCGCCGGCGCCTCGTAGGGAGCCGGCTGCGGGCCGGGCCGGGCAACGGGGGTGGCCGGCGAGGAGGTTCAGGATGTCGGCGACGCTGTACCTGCTCTCCACGCTGGGCGGCTACGTCCTCACCTCGGCGCTTCTCCTCAAGTGTCCGGGGCTGCTCCACCGGCCCAAGCGGCAGCGCTTCCGCTGCCGGCACATCTCCCACCGCGGCGGTGAGTGAGGGGGTGCGGGGTGGGGGGGGGGTGTCCCTGCCCGCCGCGGCCCCGGGGCCGCCGGTTCCCGCCTTCCCCTCAGGCGGCCGCCCGCCGCTCCGGAGGGCGGCGGCGCTCCCCGGCCCCCGCTGCTGAGGGGCTCCCCCGGCCCCCGCGGGGCGATGCCTCCCCGCTCCCTCAGGACCCGTCTCCCCCCGCTGCCCGAGCCCCGCGGGGAAGGTTCGGAGGGGCTGCTGAGCGGTGCCCGGCGGTCGCAGTGGGCTCCCTTTAAACCTTTCTCCCGCAACCTAATTTTAGGTGCCACCTGCTGACCAGTGCTTCGTTTCAAAGCTGAATTAATCTCCAAACTCAAAACGCGTCAGCCGAAATCAGCTTGTTTTATGTGGGTCGTGATGGTTTCCCTCAAACGTATATGTATTTTTTTTTTCTTCCCAATGAGTCTGACTAATAGTATCTCCATAACGAGAGAGGCAGCTGACTGTTGCTTAGATCAGGTACGAAAGATTGATCTTCTTGCCTCTAACTGCCTTTTTGCTTCTCTTTCTGGTTTCAGAAGAAATGCAGTTTGCTGTGACTCTCTGTTCTTGCTCCCCTTGCTGTTGGAGACAGTTAATGATTCAGTGTCGTGGTAAAACAGATCCCATTTTGAGAGTCCTGTCCCCTTCATACACCTTGTGCCAAGGCCTTGTGGGTAGGCTGGTTGTTTCTGTCTAAAACAGCTGAAAGATGTTTTTAAAGTTTCTTCTACCTTTTCCAAATCATTGGGAAGAAAAAAAACAAAAATACAGTAAATTGTACTTTCCTGTTCTATGAAGATCAGTTCTGCGATTTTACCTGCTGGATTTTCATTCTGTTTGTGAAAATAGTCAGTCAGTTTTCCAGTAAATATATTTCCTGAATTTCTGTGGGAAATGCTGAGTTTAGACAGTTTTCAATGTCGTATCTGGTGCCAGTTTATGCAGTCTTTGATCACAGATCTAGCCAGTGGTCCTTAACTACTGCTACTGTATTGAATTATTAAAATATGAAAACTAGAGCTGATCTCTTACTGATTTTATTACTTGCATTTCTTTCATTTAGTTTATATGACAGATTAAGTTTCTTTATAACTGTAGTCTTAAGTATTGGATAAAATACACCTTTTGTTTTGGAATGTGTATGTGTATTAGCCATTTCCTGGTAGGTATGACAAACAGAGGTTCTTAATTTTGATTGTTACCCATTTGCTCATTTGTAAGCTATTAAAAACTTGCAGATGACTTTGCTGGAACGTGGTATGATCTCCTTAATCTTCTTTTGTTCTTGCTTCTTTGCAATGACCTCAGCTGAGATAGACAGCCCTAAGCCTAGAATGGAAGTGTTTTGGCGGGTTGCACTAAGCATCATTACAACAACAGGAAGGCCTTGCTCAATGGGAGGGTTATTCGTTAGGTGTTTAGCCAGTCTTTGTTCTGTGGCCACATATGTACTGTGAAACGCACCTACAATAGAAGTACAACGCTTAAACAACATTTTGCAGCTTTTTGCTCACCGGGTACTATGAGACTGAAGATGGCTTTTTACTCTTTACTCTCTGTAGTATTTACCTTGTAACTTAAATTCCTGTGGGACTTAAAGTCGCATCAGGCTTTAGTCACGCTGTAGCTTTAGACTCAGTGTCAGGTTTCCTATTGCATTACTCCTCTTAACTTCAGAGATCAAGATAACACTTAACTCGTTTGGCTTTTTCCTCTCTGAGCTGAAGGTTTGTATTTGAAGTTGTTTTAAGTCTGCGGGTTTTGATTTCACTTCTTCCTTCATGAAAGAATTTTCTTATTTCAGTTTATAGCTCATCAGTGAAAGCATCCCTGAATTATTTCTTCACTTCTGCATAATTTAAAAATTGGTCATTTCTGAGGTCAATAATTAAGTCTTGATATTCTGTGTTAGGGTCCTCTGTCAATGCCGGCTGCATGGGCTGGATTGCAGGGTCTCTGAGACAGGATGACATGGTGATTTTTACAGAATCACAGTATAGTTGAGATGGGAAGGGACCTTTGGAGATCATCTCATCTGACCAGAACAGGGGCAACTACAACAGGTTGACGAGGACCTTGTCCTGTTAGGTTTTTAATACATCCAAGGATGGAGGCTCCACAATGTCTCCAGGCAGCCTGTTCCAGATTTTGATCACTGTTACAATAAAGAAGGTTTTTTTCTTATATTTATAAACTGAATTTTCTGTATTTCAATTTGTTCCTATTGCCTCTTGTCCTTTCCTTTGGCACCACTGAGAAGAGTTTGTCTCAGTCTTTTTTATTCCCTCCCATCCGGTATTTATACGTGTTGGTAAGATTCTCTTGAGCCTCTTTCATCCAGGCTAAACAGTTGCAGCACCATCAGCCTCACATATGCAAGAATCTCTCATCCTCTGGAATTGTTCCAGTTGATCCATGTCTGTCTTGTACTTTGAAGCCCAGAACTGGCAATGTGGTTTCACCAGTGCTGAGGAGAGGGGAATAATCACCTCCCTTGACCTGCTGGCAGCATTCTTCCTGGTGAGCTTCTTTGCTTTGGGGTGAGAAACCCAAAACAACAGAACTTCTAAGGCTCATCTGCGAGAGTCAGTGCTTGACATTGACTCCCTCTTGCCCCATGGTGATGCTTTCAGAGTTAGAGTATGCAATCATAATGTGTGAACATGGCCAGTTGGGCTCACAGGATGCTAACGTATGCAGGGGAAGGTTATTTCTGCATGGGAAATGCAACAATGCCAATGGAAAATATGTGAATCTGGAGATGCATTTAAGTAAATGTCAGAAGCCCTTCAGTCAGCCCAGCCTTTTCGTTTTTAAGGAGAGAAAATTACTTAGTACATCAAATAACTTGCTTGTTGTAGTTCCCATTTCTGAGTGTGGTTTGTGAAAGCCATGTTGCTGATTTAGAATTCCTCTTTCAGCTGATCTCAACTTTTTTCCCTACTTCCCCAAAACACGACAAGTCAGGCATTTTGTTACCAACTGGTTTGACTTGCTATACCTACCTCCCTAACATGTGAATTGTTAGATCAGTCACTTAAAGTTTTATTTTTAGAAATTTCTACCTGGGAATGTTAGGATACTGTTGTTTTGTTCACAAATTGAAGACTGCCTCAGATTTTTTTTTTCCCTCTCTTACCATTCAGGATGTATGGGCTGTATTGTCACAGTTGATAAGTTATCTAAAACCTCAATTTTTATTGCAGTTAATTTATAACTAATCATCCAGATCCTGTGCAGGTTTTTCCTACCAGTTAGGCACTCCTCAGAAATATACAATGAGATTCTCATGCTCTCCTCTATCCGTTAGTGACTTTTGCCACTCAGCCTATTTCTAGTTCTGCAATCAAATTCCATAAAATATTGGTGAATGTCTAATCACAGAAGCTGCAGTGGACTTATCAGTGATTAACGTTCAACCGTACAGATTTTGTCATTATGATTGGAAGTCAATTAAGTCTTTAATTTTGTAAACTTACCAATGCAAACTAACCTGATAACAACAATTTTAAATTGCTGGTTGCACGTGCATAGAATTGCATTGCTTTCATTAAGTAACTAGACACAGACCTGGGTAAGTATGTACTGGTGAGGCCTTGTTAATAGGCAAAGCCTTAATTGGAGCTCTTATAATTGTTGTTTACAATGTCTGTCATTCATCAATGTCAGAGAGTAGTTAAAATTTGCATAGATATACTCATCAGTACATGTAACTTCCTGAAGTTGTTTTGTTTTTCAGTATATAATATTGCCTGATTTCTGTGGGAGGGAGAAGGCGCAACCTTTTCCAGTCCCTAACCTGGCTGATTTTCAAAGATTTTTATGTAGAGAATGATGGCTTAAGAGTTGCAGAGTTTACTCCTGCCTCAGGGAAAATTGAATTTGCTTGTCCTTTTGTTTCTTGACTGGAGTTTGTGTGTTTCATTCCTTGTGTATGACACCTCCCCTTGCCAGCAGCATAAACCTTTAATGACAGATTTGTGCTGTTTCAGGAA